TCTGTTTCTCTCTCTCTCTCTCTCTCTCTCTCTCTCTCTCTCTCTCTCTCTGCCTCTCTGCCCTTCCTTCCCCATCCCTCTCCTCCCCATCTCCTTCCCCTCCTCCTCCTCCTCTCCTCTCCCTTTCTCTTCCTCTCTCTCCCCCTTTCTCCCTCTCTCTCCCCTTCCTTCCCTGCTTGTTAATTGGAGCTGAGTCTTGCAGACTTTTCTGCCAGGGCTGGCTTTGAACCATGATCTTTGATGTCTTAGCCTCCTAAGTAGCTAGGACTACTGGTGTGAGCTACTGGGTACACTAATGCTAATTATTTCTGAGATGGCAACTAATTTGCAACTGGCCTGTGAATGGACCTTGATTATGATCCTTCTGTTTACATTTTCAATGAAGCTAGGATAATAAGCGCTTTTGACTGAATTCAGCTACTGGTTAAAAAGAGGTCTTGTCACTTTTTTTCATTTTTGGCCGGGGCTGACCTTGAACCTTTATCCTCTATCTCAGCTTCTAAGAAGGTAGGGTTTACATGCTATAAGCCACTCATAGCTTGTTTTTATCCCTCAAAGATTCAATTTAGTATTATCCAAATTCTATATGAATAATAGCCTTATTATATATTTATTATTCTTGCCTAATATTTTGTGGCTTTGCCAGCATATGTGTTGGTTTCTTTTTTTTTTTTGCCAGTCCTGAGGCTTGAACTCAGGGCCTGCGCAATGTCCCTGAGCTTCTTTTGCTCAAGGCTAGCACTCTACTGCTTGAGCCACAGCACCACTTCTGGCTTTTTCTGTTTATGTGGTGCTGAGCAATCAACCCTAGGGCTTCATGCATGCTAAGCAAGCACTCTACCACTAAGTCACATTCCCAGCCCATGTTTGGTTTCTTAATACTAGAACCTGTGGACAAATGAAGCAGACTGATGACATTGATAATCTGTCTGCAGAAAATATCTGTTTGATAGAAAGATGCTTTAAATGCCAAATTACACAATTAACAGGCAAAAGTTCATACTATGTATGGCTTGGTTCTAGTGGTTTATTTTTTTCTCTTAGGCAAGATCTAGTGACCTTTTTTAAAAAAATAGTGTTACTTGGGATTGAACTCAGGGTTTCTTGCCTTGTAAGCAGGTGCTCTATTATTTATGCCATGCCCCAGGCATGTTTGCTTCAGTTAATTTTTGAGATAGGTCTCTTGTTTATCCCAATGATCTTTCTGTTTTAGGCTTCCTGCATAGCAGGGATGACAAATAAATACTTCCATGCTTAGCTATTGGTTGAGATGGAGTTGTTTCAAGATTTTTGCCTGGGCTGGCCTTGAATCTTGATCCTCTCAACTCTTTCTTGAGTAGGATTAACAAGTGTGAGTTACCTTGGCCAGCTTGAACTGTTGTTTTGTTGTTTGATTCAGGCTCTTAATGTATAGTACAAGTAGCTTCTTTTATGAGCCTTTTGCCCCATTCTTCCAGATCTTGGGATTATAGACATGTGACATCATGTCCAGTTAATTGAACTTTTGATGATACTAGTAAATGTGGTTTATTCTTCTGTGTTCAATGATAACATTTAATGAAGTGTATTTTTTTCTTTACTAAAGCCGCTTATAAATGGCTTATAAAGCTACTTATAAAATGACTTATAAACTTATAAATGTAGCATTTTAGTGTTTCCTTAAATGTTTCAAAATACCTAGAAAAAATACTATCTCTTTTATGTTTTGATTTTTTTCTCATTTTACATAGATATTCCACAGATAAGACCCAAGCCACATTATGTCATGATAAAGAAGGATGCTGAAACCAATGAAGCAATCTATTGTACAAAGGAGCCTTTCATTAAAGCACGAGTTATTGTCATTCGTTGGCTGGTTTCTTTCTGGCTAGAACCAAAACCACATACAGGACCTCATATTCCTGGGATGGAAGGTGAAGTTGTGCCAAAGAATATTCAGGTAATACACAATTGAGGCAAGAATGTTGAAGACTGAAATGGCTCTTAAGATTCAATTCACTGATTACAATTGACTTAAGTATACAGCATTTTAAACAAGTAATGTTTTTGTATATTTTATAAATTCAAATTTTAATAATTATAGAAGTAATAATTTTCTTAATAGAAAATAAAACTTTGAGATTATAGAATTTTAGTTATGTTAATCTTATTTATGTATTTTAGTTATAATACTTTTCTATCCCTGGAAAATATATTCAAAGAGGCCCCCCAGGTTACCGAAACCATGGATAATATTGACATTATACCTTACATGTGCTATCTTTATATATATATATGTGTGCATATATATCTATAGTATATGTGTATATACTATAATGTATACACTATATATATAGTGTATACACTATATATATGTGTATATATAAAGTGTGTGTGTATGTATGTGTGTGTGTGTATATATATATATATATATATATATATATATATATATATATATATATATATATTTTTTTTTTTCTTGGTCTTGGGGCCTGAACTCTGGCCTATGCACTGTCCCTCAGCTCTTCAGCTTAAGGCTAGTGCTCTACCACTTGAGCCACAGCACCATTGCCAGCTTTTTCTGCTTATGTGGTGCTGAGGAATCAAATCCAGGGCCTCCTGCATGCAAGCAAGCACTCTACCACTGAGCCACCTTCCCAGCCCCTATACTTGCTTTTTTTTGTTGTCGGTGGTGGTGGTCATGAGGCTTGACCTCAGGGCCTGGGTGCTGTCACGGAGTCTTTTTAGTGTTCTACCATTTTGAGTCACAGCTCCACTTCCAGTTTTCTGGTGGCTAATTGGAGATAAGAATCTCAAGAACCTTCTTGCCTGGGCTGTCTTCAAACAACGATCCTTAGATCTCAGCTTCCTGAGTAGCTAGGATTATTAGGCATAAGCTACTATAACCTAGCTATATTTCTGTATTTTTCATATGTATATATACATATATACTGTATACAGTATATATACACATATACTGTAATGTTTATAAATTAAACTTTAGTAAGTTTAAGAGATTAACAACATAGTAACTTTGAGAGTAGTGACTAAGAGAATAGTGACAACAACTACAATAAATTCAAATAGCAATAATAAATAATAAAATCAAATAATTATAATGATATACTTTTATAAAGGTTACCGAAAATTTATGAATTGTTTTTAGAATTTTCCACATCACACTTTTAGATCAAATTCTTCATACTTTTTTCTTAGTTTGTTTCCCCTCATGTATGTTTTCTTTCTGTTTGTGTAAATTATAGTACTTTTCCTATTTACCTTTCCTCAGGTTAGACTAATAGGGTTTTTTGAGGAGGCCAAGGAGGCAGTGCTAGTGTTGAGGGTTTTTTGGGTGACAAGGAGGCAGTGCTGGTATTTGAATTCTACTTGAAGTGCTGTTACATTTAGGTTATCTCTCCAACTCTTCGTTTTTTTTTTTGTCGGTCGTGGGACTTGAACTCTGGGCCTGGGTGCTGTCCCTCAGCTCTTCAGCTCAAGGTGAGCGCTCTACCACTTGAGCTACAGCCACTTCCGGTTTTCTGGTGGTTTATTGGAGATAAGAGTCTCAGGGTCTCTCCTGCCCGGGCTGGCTTTGAACTGCGATCCTCAGATCTCAGCCTCCTGAGTAGCTAGGATTACAGGCGTGAGCTACCAGCGCCCAGCATCCAACTCTTCGTTTTTAAAATTTTTACTAAGTTTGAAAAATCCTTAACCATGTTTTTTTTTTTAATATAACTGTTTAAATCTTCCAAAATTAAGATAGGAAGCATGTTTAGTTCATTAGAATTAAAAAATGTGACTTTTATTCCTCTGCCAGAATAGCAGATCACATTGTATGCTTCTCAAACTCTCTGCATGCAATTATTAAATACAAAAAGTGAAGCAGTATTTTCTAGTCCTAATAATGTCCTAGACTTTATTGTTATGATTAATTTAAAATCATCTATTTAATCTTTATGGATGAGGAAACTGAGACCAAACATTGAATACGGTGCCAGAAAGTATTGTCATACAACAAAGTCATGAGAAACCTACTACATGATGGTAGTAATTCATTTAATCACTGTCTTTTTCTAGGGTGTGGTTTGATCTCCAGTAATGGTAAAACAAATTTCTTTTACTAGAATAAAAAACTTTTCTCTGTTTTTTTTAAGATTTTCTTTTAGCTTTATCTCAACTTTTTTGTCAATTTCTTGTTTTTTGTTTGACAAAATTTTTGCTCTTTTTTTTTTTTTTTTTGTGCTGGTCCTGGGGTATGACCTCAGAGCCTGTGTATTGTCCTTGAGCTCTTTTGCTCAGGTTAGCACTCTACTACTTTAGTCACAACTCTACTTTTTTTTTTTTTGATTGTTAATTGGAGATAAGAGTTTTCATAGACTTTCCTACCCAGCCTGGCTTTGAACTATGATCCTCAGATCTCAGCCTTCTGAATAGCTAGGATTGCAGGTGTAAGCCAAATGTGCCCAGCTCAGAAATTTTTTAAATAGCATTATCATTAACTAAATATTTCAATGTAGTTTGCTTGTAAGTTATTTATTCTTAAGGACTTTAGCTGCCTCCCTGTTGAAAGCTCTTTCACTTACCCTTAGTAACTTTGAATTTTCTATATTTAATTATATATAGTCAATGATTCATTTTTCTGACTTTATGAATTTCTTTATATCACTTAAACATTACATTATTAGCCTTTTTACTTAATTATCCAGAATGAACCTTTTTTTTGGGGGGGGGGTCCAGTCATGGGGCCTGAACTCTGGCCTGGGTGCTGTCCCTCAGCTCTTCAGCTCAAGGCTAGCAGTCTACCACTTGAGCCACAGCGCCACTTCCGGTTTTTTTCTTTTTGCTTATGTGGTGCTGAGGAATCGAACCCAGGGCCTCAGGCATGCAAGGCAAGCGCTCTACCACTGAGCCACCTTCCCAGGCCCTCCAGAATGAATCTTAAATAAAACTTTAAATAGTGCTGTAAGTTACTATAGAAATCTTTGGCTCTAGTCAGTATTTGATAAAAAACAAAATACTCAGTTAAATGTTTATAATATTCTTTCCTTTGTGTTTTAATTTTAGAGAGCAGCTGCTAGTTTGGTATCCAGGGAAGAAAACAAAAGTGATAATGCCGATAAAGCAGACAGAAATACAGAACCAGAACAATCTCATTCGAATACTAGTACTCTCACAGAGCGAGAACCCAGCTCATCCAGTCTTTGTAGTATTGATGAAGAACATCTCACAGATATTGAAATAGTTCGAAGAGTTTTTTCTTCCAAAAGAAGCAATGTAAACTTTGTCACAGAGATATTTCGCCAGGTAAAATGCTTCTCATTATTTTTTAATTGTAATGAAGACTTGGGTTTTTAATATTGAGTTGTTGTTATTTTGTTGTTATTAACTTTTTTAGCTATTCTTAGGGCTGGAGGTATGGCTCTTTAGTATCCAGCCAGCTTAGCAGAGCAAGGCACTGAGTTCAAACTCCAGCACACTGACACTCTCCCCCCCCCGAAAAAAAATTGAATTCATAATTTTTATTCCTTTATAAAATTAACATGCATTAACTTGTTCAAAGGAATTTCATGGTAGTAATTTCATTGATGCATAGTATACTTTGCTTTTTCTTCTTTTCTTTTCTTTTTTTTTTGTCAGTCATAGGGCTTGAACTCTGGGCCTGGGTGCTGTCCCTCAGCTCTTCAGCTCAAGGCTAGCGCTCTACCACTTGAGCCACAGCATCATTTCCCATTTTCTAGTGGTTAATTGGATATCAGAGTCTCATAGACTTTACTGACACGGCTGGCTTTGAACTGTGATCCTCAGATCTCAGCCTCCTAAGTAGCTAGGATTACAGGCATGAGCCACCAGTGCCCAGCTCTTTTTTGTTTTTTGTCTTGTACTATTATTTGACTTTTTTTACTGATGGCTAGTGCTTTACCACTTGAGCCACACCTTCATTTTGGCATTTTTTTTTTTTTTTTTTGGTCCGGTTGTGGGGCCTGAACTCTAGGCCTGGGCACTGTCCCTCAGCTCTTCAGCTCAAGGCTAGCACTCTACCATTTGAGCCACAGCGCCACTTCCGGCTTTTTTCTTTTTGCTTACGTGGTGCTGAGGAATCGAACCCAGGGCCTTAGGCATGCAAAGCAAGTGCTCTACCACTGAGCCACCTTCCCAGCCCTCTTGGCATTTTTTTTTTTTTGTTAACTAGAGACAATTTTTTTTCTTTACAGAGGCTGGCTTCAAACCTCAGCCCCCTGATCTCACCCCTGAGTAACTATGATTATAGATATGAGGCACCTGATATGTCAGGTTAAATTTTAATTATTCACCTTATGAATTGAAACTTTTTCCTTCCCATCATTTTATAGTAAAGTTATTTTTTGCGTGATTGTTAAAAGTTGTTTTATAAATATCAGTGATGGTTTCATTGCCTTCGTCTTTGAGAGCTTCAATTTTGTCCATTAGAGCATTCTGAAATTTAAGTTGCTAAACAGTGTTATTGTGGGGGAAAAAGAGGAAATAAAATAACTATTTTACGTAAATTAACTAGAAATTTGAAAGTACATATTCCCAAGCACATAGAAATTTTTTTTGGAAAATGTACTTCATGAAAATTAAGCAGGTGGGCTGGTAAGGTGGCTTAATGGTAGAGGGCTTGCCTTGCATGCCTGAGGCCCTGGGTTTGATTCCTCAGCACCACATAAGCAAAAAGAAAAAAGCCAGAAGTGGCTCAAGTGGTAGAGCACTAGCCTTGAGCTGAAGAGCTGAGGGAGCTAAGGGACAGCGCTCAGGCCCAGAGTTCAGGCTCATGATCGGACCCCCCCAAAAAAAAAGAAAAAAGAAAATTTAGCAGGTGCTTCAGTGTTGCAACAATATTTAACCTTTTTCAGGTAAACATCATTGATTTTTATAGCTGAAGAAGGATCATTCAGTTCTCAAAGCAATCAAGTAGTAGATCTGAGATAACGATATCCAGATCTTTGTTGTCTGAATTAATCTTTGCTTCCCTCTTTTCTTTTTTCTCTGTGTGTTTGTGTGTGTGTGTGTGTATGTGTGTATGTGTTTTTGTGTGTGTGTGTGTGTCTGTCTGTCTGTTTATATAGGTCTCATGTTGTATTATAGGCTGGTTTCAACCTTACTAAATAGCCCAGGCTAGCCTTTCATGTGCTGTGATAACAGGCATATACAACAATACCTACCATTTCTTTTCAAGCACAAAGACTATTTGTGGGAACAGTATCAGCCTTCTAATTGATTAGATAATTGTCACAAATCTTAAAACTTAAAGAATTATTCAAGTTTTTAAGTTTTGAACTGGTTTGAATATTTTTTAGGAGTTTTGTATTACATTTTTTAAAAAAACTTACTCATATAAATTTTTATTGCATATGCCTTTTTTTTTTTCCATCAGTCATGGGACTTAAACTTGGGGCCTGAACGCTGTCCCTGAGCTCTTTTGCTCCAGGCTAGTGCTCTATTACTTTGAGCCATGGCTCCACTTCTGGTTTTCTGGCAGTTTTCTGGAGAACTTTCTTGCCTGGGCTGGCTTTGAACTGTGATCCTCAGTTCTCAGCCTCCTCAGTAGCTAGGATTACAGCCATGAGCAACCAGTGCCCAGCTGGTTCTTGCTTTTATTCCCCATTAGTATTTACTTGCTTATTTTATTTTTCTTAAATTTTTGCTTTTGGCTTTGTTGACTTCTCTCTGCTTTATATTTACATTTTTCTTTCATTTTTCCTCATTTTTTTCTTTCTAATTTTCTTGATTGTATAAATGGTTCTTTTCCTAGCTAATTAAATATTAGTCTCAATTTTTCTTTATATAAGCATTTTTCAGTATATTAATTTACTTATTTACTGTTTTAGTTACATTCTATAAATTTTTATCTGCAGCTTTTCTTTTCCTTTTTTTTTTTTGGATGGTGGTACTCGGTTCATGCTCTCACTTCGTTTTTTTTTTCACTCAAGGCTCATATTCTGTCCTTGAGCCACACCTTAAAAGCCAGCTTTGGCTTTTTGCTGGTTAATTGTTAATTTGATATAAAAGTCTTTCAGATGTATCTGCTTGAGCTTGCTTCAAACAGTGATCTTCAGATCTGGAGGCATGCTTCAAAAAGCCACTTCTGGCTTTTTGTTGTTTGTTGATTTGACATAAAAGTCTTTCAGATTTATATGGGTTTGCTTCAAATAGTGATCCTTATATCTCAGCCTCTTGGGTAACTAGGATTATAGGCATGAGCCGTTGGTGCCCAGCTATGTGTAGCATTTATTGTAATTACTCATTCTTTTTAATGATACCCTCTGCCTATGAGTTATTAAGAAATGTGTATCTTCCAAAAATTAGATATTTTCTGTTTTTTTCCTTTAAAGTTTTTTTATGTAGTTTTATTTTAGAGAATATAGGCTGTAAGATACTAAATATTTAAAACGTGCCCCACCTAGTACATAGTCAGTTCTCATACTATTTTGTGTCCGTGGAAAGAATTTGACAGGTGTGGTGATCCATGCCTGTAATCCTAGCATTCTAGAGGCTAGCCTAGGCTACATGGCAAGTTAAAGTCAATCTGAGCTACAAAGTGAAATCACATCTTCAAACCAAACCAAATCAAATAACATGAGGGCTAGAGATGTTACTCAATTGTAAAGTACCTTCTTGGTATTGCACACGTGTCTACCTGGGTTCTATCCATAGTGCAAAAACAAAAACCAGGTGCTAGTGGCTCACTCCTGAAATTCTCAGGAGATTGAGACATGGAGGACCAGTTTGAAGCCAGTCTGGGCAGAAAAGACTGCAAGACTCCATCTCTAATAAACCAGCAAAAGGCCTGCCAGACTAAAGACACAGCTTAAAGGAAGCCAAGCCAGAGCTTGAAGCCCTTAAATGAAGCCCTAGTATATTAACACTAAAAGAAATAAAACAAGCTTTAAAAATGTATTGGCATTGTATAGGATTGTTCCTTTTTATGTTTCATCCAATTATTCCTCTAAAATACAGAAAAGTATGTAGACTGAAAAGAGATAAAAATATCTTTACTAATGCATCTGCCAGAATCTCATCTATCTGTATTTGGGTCTGATTTGGTAGAATAATTACAATGCAAGCTTATTCTTTCACAGGGGCAGTTACCAAAAGGTAAATTGTTAACAAATCTGGGCATGCCCACAATTGCTAAATTTTACTGGTCTCTGTGATGGGAAGAAGGCTCTTGTAATGAAGAACCAAGCATGAGATTGTTTTTCTTTTACTTTTATTTATTGTGTATCTGAGTTTTTTTGAGATTAAGACTTGCTATAGACTAGGTGCATTACCACACCAGGCTCTGGTGTGACATTTTTAAACAGGCCTGGAATGCCATCAGTTGCCATCTAGCCTTTGGTTAAGTTTTTAACATTGCTTTCAGATCTCCAATTTCTACCACTCAAAACTACAGAGCATTTTCTTTTTTATCACACGTTAAAAGTAACCTAAGGCAACAGTTTGAGTATGCATATTTCAGTTGCACTTTATATTATCAGTTTCTCTTTCCCTACGGAGTTAAGTTTCTTTAGAAAAATTTCTAAGTTGAGTCAAACCCAAAAATGCCTAGTGCAATAACAGGAAAATTCATATGGGCAACATTTCACAATTAGCTCACTTGTGTTGGACAGAACTGTGCTTTCAGAGCCCAGAGAGAGATTTCCTCCTACATGAGCAGAATGGAGTTAATGGTTCTCCAGATGGTGGTTTCTGCTTTTATGAATTGTGATGTATGAAAAACCAAAGAAATCGTTCAAAATGTATTATAGAAGATAGAAATTAATTAAGGTAAGGGGGAGACAGGTTTGGTGTCCGAGTCGGTAATCCTAGCTACTTGGGATTGTTTAATGGACACTTGATTATTTCTATATTTTAACTATTGTGAATAACATGCCACAGTGAATGTGGGTATATAGACATCTTTTTGAGGTACTGATTTCATTGCCTTTAGAAATATACCCAGAGAGCAGATTGTTGTATCATATGCTAGTTCCATTATTAAGTTTTTGAGGAACTTTCATACTGTTTTTCATAATGGCTATACCAATTTATAGTCCTGCCATCAGTCAATCAATGTCTCATCAGCAAAATCCATCTTAACCATCTATACATCCATTCATCTCTATCTAAATAACTATCCTAACTAGTTTGTGGTGATAACTTGTTTTCATTTGCATTTCCTGATGATTGGTTAAATGATTGAGCATTTTTTTCAGAAATGGTTGCCTGTGTATCTGTTGTGTTTATTGAGAAATGGCTGTTGAATTATATTTCCATGCTTAAAAATGAGTTATTTGATTTTTACTCTTGTTATTTGAGGTGCATTTTGTATATTAACCCCTTACCAAATAAATAGTTTGCTAATATTTTCTCATTTCATAAGCTTTTAATATTATGTTATTTGCTTTCTTATGTTAAAGCTTTTTAGAATAAATAATTCTTTACTTGTCTATTTTTGCTTTTGTTCCTTGTAATATTGTTGTCATATCCCCAAAAATATTGTTTACATCAATATCAAGGAACAACTACTTTCTTGTGCTGTCTTCCACTAGTTATGCAGTTTCAGATCTTATATTAGTCTATAGAGTATTTTGAGTTGATATTTGTATGGATTTAATTTTATTCTTCTGTTTTCCCATTGGTATTTGTGAAAGAGATTATCCTTTCTCCATGTTTTTATTGAAGATCAGTTGGCTGTAGATGAGTAGATTTATTTCTGAGCTCCCTGTTCTGTTTAGTGCTCTATATGCATGTGATGCCAGTGCCATATTATTTCACTTACTGTATAGCTTTGGAGAGAGAGACAGAGAGACAGTGTGTGTGTGTGTGTGTGTGTGTGTGTGTTGATCAGGAAATGTGATACAGAGAGACTGTGTGTGTGTGTGTGTGTGTGTGTGTGTGTGTGTGTGTGTGTGTGTGTGTGTGTTTGATCAGGAAATGTGATGTCTCCAGATTTTACTCTTTTTTCCTCATGATTTCTTGGGTTATTCTAAGTTCTTCATTCTTATCATACAGTGATAAATGACAGTGACACAAGGACTTCATTATTTTAGTTTGAGTAACAGTCTCTTTGACATCAGTCTCCATCAGATCCATATTTAATGTGTCAGTAAAATAATGTTTTTAAATGTGCAAGAGTAAATCTTGGGTAAGGAAAGCCTAAGGGTAAGAAACAACCTTTTGTACTCTGGTTTGTAAATAAATTCATCAAACTACTTGGTAATAGTCTGCTAATTTGTTTAGTGATAAATATCTTAGCTTTGGAGATCACTATTTTTTTAAAATTATCATGTTTTATGCTTTAGAGTTGAAAGTTTATAACAAAATTAAGTGAAAAGTATTGTTTTCATACAAGTTTGGAAAATAAGTTTTTAGCATTTAGAACTCTAGTATTTATAAGAAAATACAATGTTTTTATTTGAGCTTTTTTGTTGTTATTTGTTTATTTGTTGCTGGTCCTGGGCTTGAACTCAGGATGTAAGCACTGTTCCTGAGATTCTTTTTCACAAGGCTAGTACTTTATTACTTGAACCTCAGTACCACTTCCGGCTTTTCTAAGTAGTTTATTGGAGATAAGAGTCTCACAATAAACAGACGAATGAATGAATGAATGAATATTACCAAAGATCTGTAAAACACCACTTAACAATTCTGATTGCTTAAATGGATATTTATTATCTTTAAAAACTGAATTGTGCTACTAAATTGATGATTGCATTCTGACAAATTGAATTAAGAAAAAAGATCTAAATAAATAAATAAATATATATATATGTTTACATATATATTTATATTTTTGGTATGCTTTTGAATCCTTGCCAGGTTGAAACTCTTTAACAGTTGCACAAATTCCTAGTTCATTTTTCTTGGTTTCAATTTTGAAATAAAATATATTTTTTTTAAATTGGAAAAAAAAAAGTCTCACAGACTTTCCTGCCCAGGCTGACTTTGAACCGCCATCCTCAGATCTCATCCTCCTAAGTAGGATTCCAGCCACCTGCATCTGGCATGAGCTTAGTTTTTAAAATTTATTTTGAATATTAGGCTGAGTTGTTGCTGCGCTATAATAATTTCATAACAAGCCTTGATTGTCAAAATGATGGAGTATGCCCATTAAGCTACTTGAATATCACAGTAAGAATTAAGAAATAGATTTATTAGATTGAGGAAAGTATCACATAATGCATTTTGCCAGGCAGTCATTCACAGTAAATAAAAGAACTAGCAAACAGAATATCTTATTTACATTGCACATGAATGTTTCATCATTGTCTTTGATGCTGATTTTTTAAAACTAATTTCATGTAGACAAATTATATTCATTTTAATACCTAAAAAACAAATATACCTGTTAATAACTCCAGAGAGGAACTGACACTTTTTTTTTACATTTCTTTTTAAGTTTTTAAATTTTTTTATTTTTTGTGAACATACTGTACAGAGGGGTTACAATTACATGGGCAAGATAATGAGTACATTTCTTATCAAGCATTGCAGCCTCCTCCTTTGTTTAACCTTCACATCCCTTCCCAGCCTCCCCCACCTCCCCCGCACCAAAGTTGTAAAGTTCGTTTTTGACATGACAACTTGTGGAACTGACACTTTGTAAATAAAGGTCTTGTGAGTTTTAAGATTTAAATTAATGGGTAGTGTTATTCATTAGTAAAATGTAAAAAATGCTAACTATAAACACATCTAAGGGAAAGAGTTTGATAGTGAAGTAAAGTTTGAGTTAATTTTTAGTTTTGTTTTTCCATATTTAGATAGGATTTTTCCAGTAAAATGTATTTTTATGATGAAAATGTTGCATTTTGACAACTCAGAAAATACCCAAACCAAAGAGTACCTATAAGATAATCCTTGTTTGCTGGCACCAGTGGCTCATGCCTATAATCCTAGCTACTCAGGAGGCTGAGATCTGAGGATCACAGTTCAAAGCCAGCCTGGGCAGGAAAGTCCATGAGACTCTTCCTCCAATAAACCACCAGAAAACTAGAAGTGGCACGGTGGCTCAAGTGGTAGAGTGCTAGCTTTGAGCTGAAGAGCTGAGGGACAGCGTCCAGGCCCAGAGTTCAAGCCTCACAACTGAAAAAGATAATCCTTTTAAATTTCTAAGTGTTTGCTTCATTTTTAGATCGTAGAACTTAATTATATATAAAAAGTGATGGGTAGGCGCTAGTGGCTCATGCCTGTTACTTAGGAGGCTGTGATCTGAGAATTGCAGTTCAAAGCCAGCCCAGGCAGAAAAGTTCCTGTGAGACTCTTATCTCCATTTAACCACCTGCAAACCAGAAGTGGTGCTGTGGTTCAAATGGTAGAGCTCTAGCCTTGAGCAAATATGCTCAGGATAGCACATAGGCCAAGCCCTGAGTTCAGTCCCTAGTACCAGAACACACACACACGCACGCACGCACGCATGCACGCACACACACACGCAATACACACACACACACACGCAATACACACATACACGGGATTCATAGAAAGCTTTCATCTTTTTCTTTATATACTTAATAAAAATGCATGAGGCATTAATATTTTTCTTTATATGCATAATAAAAAACTACAGTGCTTTTTTACATGTGATTTTTTTTCTTTTTTAAAGTTGAGTTTAATTTTTAAAATCTTGTTGCTAAAAGCTATTTTAATGTATCAGTATATGCATGTATACAATATATCATATAATATGTAAGCTATATATACAAATGTATGCGCAACATGCAGTTGTATACAATTGGATACAATGTATAGTTATATAATTATAGATATTGAACTTGGAATAATTTTATGAGACAATATTACTATTCTGAGATGGCACAATTAAATCTTTATTCCACTTAAATCTACCATAAGCATGTCTCTGTCAGTGTATTTACAAAGTACTTCAACATAAAATGGTTTTGTGATAATTTACTTTTATATTTTTTAATTTTATGTCTTATATAGAAATATTTTATTGAAATATTTTAATGGTTGTGGCAAAAGAAAAAGTATCATTATCTAAGTTCTCTTTATTTTCTAGGCATTTTTATTACCAATTTGTGAAGCAGCAGCTATGAGGAAAGTAGTAAAAGTATATCAGGAATGGATCCAACAAGAAGAAAAACCTTTGTTTATGCAAGAGCCTGAAGAAATTGTGATCACTTCTTTAGACATACCTTGCATTGAAAATGTCACAGATCATGATCTTTCAGCGGAAGAAGATGAAAAAAGAGAAGAGGTAAAATTAAAGATTTATATATTTTTATAATTTTAATTGATAAAAGTTTCATTAAATATAACAATATATTATCACAAAGATACTTAAATAGGAAGAGAAGGTGTCTTTCCATATATTTTGCAGTTTAGATAGTGTAACAATATGACATCTGTAATGTCATAATTTTTAAAGGTATATTGCAGTTATATACTGGTTCTTTAAGTCATTGTATAGATAAAAATTAAATGGTGTCATTTAAACTGTGATACTACATGAAAATGCTTACAGGACATACCTTGTGAGATGATTACCTAACTATAGTTCCTTTTTCCCTGAAAGTAGTGCCTCTTTTCTCCAGAGTAGTTACCCACCACAAATCAGAATGTTCTGAATTCTTTTCTGGGCTCTTGCAGCAAAGCAATTGCAGAATGTAAAGCTTCTTGGTATAATAAAATAAGCAGTATTGCAATAAGGTAATAAATAGGTCCATGAGTTTTCTCTGATAGGGGAAAGACATAGAGCATAGCAGTGATAATATTTGGGCCCCTGATTCCATTTATTCCTTAAGTCTAAATGAGTTCTTGACCTTTCTGTGTTTTTGAGAGAGGGTCTATTTGTGTAGTACCATTCTGGACACAGAATTTGTTTCTACTGCCTAAATTCTGGTATAACAACAATATACTACCAGTCTTTTATCTTTTCTGTTTTTTTTAAAGTCCTATTAAATCTGTTTAGTCCAGATTGGCTTTGAAATTTTGATATTCCTTAGTTCAATCTCCCAAGTGGTGTCCTGTTTCTAAAAAGGAAAAAAAATTAGAAAATAGTTGGTTCTGAGGATAGCTCAATAGTAGAGTGTATGATTATTAGCATGCATGAAAATCTAGGTTCAATCTCTACCAACAAAAATGGGAGTGGAGAATATAGTTGAAGTACATAAAATTAATAATATAAATTACAAAATTAGGAACAAATAGTACTATTTGTTATATACCAATGAAAAACATCAAATATTTACATTGTGTTAGAAAATAAACCTGTCAGTAACGTTTACATTTCTACAAATATTTATTTGTCTGTGTCATGAGCCTATCTTGTATCTTTAAATAAAAATGATGAGTATAAACTGTATGCCTCATTTAATAAAAACAAACATGAATGAAAGGAGAGTGAGTTGATGATATAGTGTGCTAGATATTCATTTTCTACTGGTGACTTAACTACAACAACATTGCCATTAGAGGTGTGAATTTTTTCAAATGCCATCAAGTCTCATTAATGATTTATATCTAACCCAAAAGGTATAATCACTCACTGTCAGTTTTTATAAACTCAATATATATGAAGATCACTAAAAATTTTTGGTGTTCAAATTATCAAATAGAGATTCAGATAATTATGACTTTTGAAAAAATGTAGAACACATGATAGTTTGTGTAGTATGTGTGCAAGACTGACATATACCTTGCAAGATGTTTGGTATTCCTTTGTTTATCCCATTAAATTCCAGTGACATATTTCAATTTTTGTTATAATAAAATATCCCTGCAATTTCAAAATCCCTTTCCCTTTTAAGGGGACATTCAGTTCAGTCTCACACTTGCTAGACTGGTTCTCTGCCACTTGAGCCACACACTTCAAGCCCTACTTTTCACTGCTATTTCTCTAGATTTCAGCCTACAGAGTAACTAGAATTCCCTTTTAAACATGAGAGTCAATATTGGAAGTATAAACCTGAACAGATATGATTTCTACCTTCATGTATCTTACTGTTAACAAGAATACAGCCAGGAGCTGAAGGCTAAGGCCTATAATCCTAGATACTTAGGACACTTAAGATTTGAGAATTGAGGTGGAAGCCAGCTGGAGTAGAAAAACTATAAGACTATTTTTTTTTTTTTAAATCTGATAGTGGTGCTTGAACTCTGGCCTGGGCACTGTCCCTGAGCTCTTCCAACTCAAGGCAAGTGCTCTAGCCTTGAGCCATAGCATCACTTTCAGTTTTCTGGTGGTTGATTGGAGATAAGAGTCTCATGGCTGGCTTTGAACTATGATCCTCAGATCTATTTTTAAACATGAAAAAAGCTAGCCTGGTGGTATGGCTCAAGTGGTAGAGCACCAGCTGTGAGCAAAGAAGCTGAGAGAGCATAAGACCCTGTTTCAGCACACACACACCCCAAAAACAAAAGTACAAAAATTGAGAATACAACTTTATAAAATAAGAATATAAAATATTATTACTGGAATTATGAAATATTATTCTAGAATATGAAAGAGGGAATTCATACTCTGCTGAGAGAAATAAAAGAATGATTCATGGAATAAGTACTATAATATGAAAAGCAGGTAGAGAAATAGGAAAGGACCACAGAGTGTGAATAGCATCTCTAAGAATGTGAAAGACTTTTAAAATACTTTAATTTGACTGTAGCTAAGCGCAAATGGGACAAAGTGATAGGAAGTACTAGAAATAAGGGTTAGTTTCTGGTCAATAATTTGTATGTATTCAGTGTACTTGGGTTATATTCTAGAGATTGGAAAACACTTACAGGATTATGAATAGTAGAATAACATGAATACTTACATATTTCAGAAGAATTATACCAGACTATCATTGAGGATAGATTGGAGACTAGTTAGAAAGTTTAGTGAGTTCAGAAGTGAGATGGTGAGTACCTGGAATAGGACTGAGCCAGTTAAGTGGGAGTATAAAGGAGAGGGCAAGTATATTAATTTCTTCTGTGGCAAAGTCAGTGTGTCTTGATTATTAACTGGTTGAGAGATGGGGAAAGGGGAGAGATTACATTTCTTATCTCTCCTTCCCTCTCTCCCTCCTCTTCTGTCTCTCCTCTTTCTCCCACCCTCCCTCTTCTTCCCTCTTCTCTCACTTTTTTTCTCTCTCTCCCTCTCTTCCTTCTCTATTTCCTTCCCTCCCTCTTTCTTTTTCTCTTTTCCTCCCTCTGTCCTTTTTCTCTCTTCTCCCTCCCTCCCTTCTTCCCTCCCTCCCTTCCTCTTTCTTTCTTCCTTCCTTCCTTCCTTCCTTCCTTCCTTCCTTCCTTCCTTCCTTCCTTCCTTCCTTCCTTCCTTCCTTCCTTCCTTCCTTCCTTCCTTCCTTCCTTCCTTCCTTCCTTCCTTCCTTCCTTCCTGGTTAGTATTAGGACTTGAACCTGAGGCATTTTCTTGCTCAGCTGGTACTCTTAGCACTTGAGCCACATCACTTCTCACTTCTTTAAATATATTGAACTTCAGGTACTTTTGATACAAGGGAAAATTAGGCCAGTTCTATGAGGATTCATTGTGTAAATGTGTGTATATGTATTAGGTATATATGTAGGTTTTTGTGAAGCACACTACTATTGACAGTCAGGGAGACTTGGTAAGACACCTGATCATAGAGATTGAGAGTTCAAGAGAAAGGCTAGTAGACTAGACCTTGATATTTTATATTGGCTCCTCAATTCTTACTTCCAATACTATTTCTGGTAATGGTAGAGAAGTAAATATTGGACTAAATCTCTTGCATGTTACAATTATAAACACCATAATGTGTGTGTGTGTGTGTGTGTGTGTGTGTGTGTGTGTGTGTGTGTGTACATACATAAACTCATTGAAGTTATTGGCAAGAAAGACATGAGGCCATAGCTAAATTGTGTGTGTGTGTGTGTGTGTGTGTGTGTGTGTGTACATACATAAACTCATTGAAGTTATTGGCAAGAAAGACATGAGGCCATAGCTAAATGATAGAACCCTTGCTTATCATCTGCAAAACTCTTTGGTTTCTGGCAAATTTCTTTATTTTGCAACAAAAGTAGTTAAAAAGAAATTTAAAAGCAGGAAGAAACTGTGGAGAGACTTATAAACAGAAATACCCTGAGTAGAATTTCTGTTTACATGCTTTTTACCTAAAGAAACTTCTGTACTAATACTGAACATCAGGCAAAATGCTGCAGTCTTAGGTGGTTTGAACTATCACTGTTCTTCCAATAATGGGACCTTAACTGCATTGGAGATCTGAAGCATCAGTATTACTTATATAATAATGGAAATTTTACTATGAAGTAGAATAAAGATAAGTTTAAATTTTTTTGTCAACTAGATTCTTCAGTTTACAACAAACTTCATCTTTCACAAAACTGTAAATGGTATAATCCATTTGTTGAATGTGTGAGAACATGGTTGAGAGGTTTACACATTAGAACCTTGAAAACTATATTAACTAACTGCCTAATTATTCACAACTTTTTTGTCAATGTGAGTTTTTATTGATTGATTTATTTTCTCATGAGGTTCTGGAGATTGAATCTTGGGCCTCACATATGCTAGGTAAGTGCTGTATGACTAGATCCATGCCTCTAGCCCTATGTCAGCCCTAGTTTTTCTACCCATTTTGAGAGAAACTTCTTTAGTAGTAAGCTCTAATAATTTCATGAGCCTTCCTGTTTGCTGACGTGTTGCAGCTTTCTTGTTAATGAAATACTCAATACTGATGTTTTATTTCAGGAAAATGGGACCAGTATTGCTGAGCATGTTCGAAATTCTAATTGGGCAAAAAATGGCACTTACCAAGATGCCTCTGAAGAAGCCACAGAAGAAAACATTCGAGCTGGTACCCAGGCAGTTTTGCAGGTAGATCACTTTATTGCTTTTTTTTTTTTTTTTTTTTTTAAGTAAAATCATCATTAGATATTCTAAAAGTTCAGGATTTTAGCTTGGTACCTGTGGCTCATATCTGTTGTTCTAGTTACTCAGTACATGGCTCTGAGTTCAAACCCCTGTACTTACTGGATTCCAGGATATAGTATAATTTTTTAATATAAAAGTTTACCACCTACATTTTTCAGTTATCATTATACCCCATGTTATAGTTTAATCCTTATTTTTTTTTACTTCATAGCATATATATTGAAAAACAACTAATAGATGAGAAAAGATACTTAAATTCATTATTGTTAAAGGAAAAACAGTCAGTCCTGGGGTTTGAACTCTGGGGCTGGGCTCTGTTCCTGAACTTCTCTGTGCTCAAGGCTAGCATTCTAACACTTGAGCCACACCACCACTTCCAGCTTTTCTTGAGTAGTTTATTGGAGATAAGAATCTCACAAACTTTCCTGCCCGAGCTGGCTTTGAACCACAATCCTGATCTCTACCTCCTTAGTAGCTACTGGCACCTGACTTCATTCTTAATTCAGATATACACACCTTAAAAGAAGAACAGAGGATAAATGTTTATACAACTTACTCAGAAAATTCTTCCTGACATCAATGTCATCTTTTATTATTAAATAATTATACTTATTTGTTGTTGTTGATTACAGTAGGGTTATGGTATTAGTACTCTGTTTAGAAGTGCTGCTTTTGCATTTCGATCATTTTCTTTTGAGCAGCTACCAGTAATGTTGTATTTGTTTAGATAAACATGGCAATAAGTAGGTTTAATGAGTTTTAATTTCAGGTACTAAGCTGGTAATAGAAGTAGAGTTAGAATCCATAGTATTTAAAATTTTTAAAGAAATTTGCCATTGAAATTCCATTGTAAATAGCTAATTTTTTTTAACTACAGGTGTTTATTATAAACTCAGCCAACATATTTCTTCTTGAACCTGCAAATGAAATAAAAAATCTTCTGGATGAACATACTGATATGTGTAAACGCATTCTGAACATTTATCGATACATGGTTGTACAAGTATCAATGGACAAAAAGACTTGGTAAAAGCTCCTTTTTTCTTTTATAAACAAATGTGTAATTTTTAAAGATAAATTGTTTGTGAATAGGATATGTTAAAACATTATAAGGCTTCTGTTATTGAATGAATTAATAAAAATAATACTTTAATAATGATGACAGGAGTTCCAGTCAAGTTTTCTCAAACTTTTTTTTTTTTTGTCTGTCAGTTGTGGGCTTGAACTCTGGGCCTGGAAGCTGCCCCTCAGCTGTGCAGCTCAAGGCAAGCCCTCTACCACTTGAGCCACAGAGCTACTTCCAGCTTTTTAAAGTAGTTTATGGAAAATAAGAGTCTCAGGGATTTCCTGCCTGGGCTAGCTTCCAAGTTTGATCCTAACATCTTAGCTTCTTCAGTGGATAGTATTACGGGCGTGAGCCACCAGTGCCCAGCCAAACAGTAATTTTGTTGTTTGTTTTTAGCGGCATTAGGGTTTTAACTCAGAACCTCATGTATGCTAGGCAGATGCTCCATCACTTGAGCCACCTCCCCCAGCCCTTTTATCTTTATTTTTGAGACCTTTTGTTTTGCCTCTGACCCCAATCTCCCTTCCTATGATTACATATAATTCCAGGTTAGAGAATTAACCTGTAATGATCCTCTAACCTGAGATTACAGTTGGCTTATTGATTGAGAGAAGGTCTCTAATTCTGCTCAGGCAGAGTTAAATTGAGATCCTCCTGATCACCACTCCTGAGTAGCTTATATTATGCATAAGCCACCTCATTGTGCCTCTCAAACATCTTTGCTACTGCTTCCTCAAGACTCTGTGTTGAGTGTGTCTGCTACCTTCATGCATATCAAGTGAAGGTGCTTCTCTTTCCCTTTTTTATTTCTCCCTTTTTTATCCTATTTTGCTAAATAAACCCTACTTAAACATATACATCTAAAAAGACTCGTTGGAGTGTCTTTTCTGAAGTGTGAGTATATCACTTCTCCCACTCAAGAATAAATATAATCATATATGCATATATGGAGAGGTAGTTTATGCATGTATGAATAATGAATGATTGAATGAATGGATAGATGGGTGATTTACCAGCTGTTTGGATGCCTGATTTCTTAGCCTGGCATTCAAAACCTTTGCCCGCTTTTTCCTTCTTAAACTTATCCTTTAGAATGAACATGTGCCATCTTTTCCTGTTGTCTCTCAAACTGTCCTTTAGATTCCATCTTCTTTGTAGATATCCTTTCTTACATTTTCTCCTTTACTTCCTTTCATTCTGTATTTATACCTCTATTTAGTTCTTGTTAAAATTACCTTGATTTCTATCTTATTTATGTAGTTGTAGGTGTTTGTGTACCCCTCGAGGTAAATTAGAGGCCCTAGATAAGATAGGTATTTCCTGCATTTCCCAGCATAAGCTATTGTGTGTTGTTGGTACTCTATATAATTGTTTAAGTGGATGGAAAAGTGAAATTTTGGGGAGAGAGCAGTTGTGTAATTTCTTTTTCTTTTTTTGGTTCCGGTTGTGGGGTCTGAACTCTGGGCCTGAGTACTGTCCCTCAGCTCTTCAGCTCAAGGCTAGCACTCTACCACTTGAGCCACAGTGCTACTTCTGTCGTTTTCTGCTTATGTGGTGCTGAGGAATCGAACCCAAGGCCTTATGCATGAAAAGCAAGCGCTCTACCACTGAGCCACCTTCCCAGCCCCCAGTTGTGTAATTTCTATAAACATGCTATGTTGTTTTTGTAAACTTCAAAGAAAAGCTTAAAAAAAAAGTTGGCAGATGTGAGGTCTTAAATTCAATTGCAGCACCATCCTCCAAAAAGTTACTCCCAAAGTTCACTCTCTTGAGGCAATAAGTATTTTCCCATTCATAAAAAATCTGACTTCGGCCAGGTGCTGGTGGCTCACACCTGTAATCCTAGCTACTCAGGAGGCTGAGATCTGAGGATCGTGGTTCAAAGCCAGCCCGGGCGGGAAAGTCCGTGAGACTCTTATCTCCAATAAAGCACTAGAATACCAGAAGTGGTGCTGTGGCTCAAGGGGTAGAGTGTTCGCCTTGAGCTGAAGAGTGCAAGGACAGCCCCCAAGCCCAGAGTTCAAGCCCTATGACTGACCAAAAAAAAAAAAAATCTGACTTACCAAACCACAAATAGTTAGGTATGAGTATTATACCATATATATAACCATAATTTTTAAAATCAGTCTTCTATTAATGCACATGTATTTTCTTTTTGTTTTAGTGGGAAGGAGGATGGTAACATCTTCTTTTTCTCATTTGTCTCATTCTTTCAATAGAGAGTACTTAGTCAAAGAAAGTACCTGGTTTATGTTTTCCTACTTAGGGAAAATGACTATTTGGAAACATTTTTTATGAACAGCATTAATAGAATAAGTAGAAGTAGTTGTTAACATTATTTTAAGTAAGTTTTTATTTAAACAATAAGTTTTTTATTGTGAAAATACTGTACAGATGGGTCACAATCACATGAGCAAGGTAATGAGTATATTTCTTATCAAGCGTTGGTGCCTCCTCTTTTGTTTTTCCCCTCCTATCCCTTCCATCTCATCTCTGCAACTACATCATCTCCCCACCAGGGCCCTCCCCCCGCAAATTGTAAAGTTCATTTTTTGACATAGCATCTTGGAACACTTCTTTTTGCAAGGTATCTTTCTAAGCACTTTGCATATATATCTTAATCTTTATAGCACTGTTTGATTTATATAATAATGTAATATCTCTATTTTTACATGAAACAATGTTTAGGCACAAAGATAGTTTTGTCCTTGTTCACACAGCTTTTGAATAGTGAGCAGAAATTTGAATTGCAGAATTTCTGACTTCTGAAAGTACACTGAATTAGATAATTCTTTTGTTACTCTTGTGCTTTTCTTTCTGTAGGGTCTGAATCAGTGATGAGCAGGAGTACTGCTGTGTACAATATTACGTAGAATTTATTTAGTATGTTTTTAGGTTTCCTTAAAGTATAGTACTTTAGAGGGTAGTATTCAGATTTACATTGAACTTAGAAGATTTTCTTGATTAAAATCATTCTTATTATATTACAAAGTGAAAAGATCACCTGATAAATCAGTGAGTTAAGGTTTGACCATTAGTAGCTTATTTTGTAAAGATTGCATGTGTAGTTGTTTTCAAATAGCTTTTTATTTTATATGGTTAATAACCCATGGTTTCAAATGTGATTCTTTAGATTTTTAGCCTCTAAATTAATACATGCATTTGTTAGCCAATATATACAGTGTATTTTAAACTGAACCATTGTTTTCTATTTGAGTCTTTCCTTATTTACTAGAAATAACAAGACATCTAGATCTGAGACTTTTCCTACCTTGGCTACATTTTTCACAGTAATTGTCCCATGTAATGCTGTGCCTCAAATGGGCCTGTAAATTAGCCAAAAAATGGAGGAGTCTGTGATAGAGACGTGGACTACAGTATGGTTATATGCCCAATTGAAATTCCTGGTTAGCCTCTTTTTCTGTAGGGTTGAATCAGTTTCTGAAATATCAAGTGTAGTTTTATAATTTTTATAGTATGCATGTAGGATAAAAAAGAAGGACAATGTTAGCATTGATTTTGTTTCCAGTTCTCAAAGAGAAAAAGGATTTTTTAAAAAGATGGAAAGCAGAAACATCCTTATCGTTTTTTTCTTTTCTCCTGAATGTTCATTATTAAAACTATAAAACTACCTTATTAGCCATGTGCCTGTGGCTCACACCTGTAATCTTAGCTCCTCAGAAGGCTGAGATCAGAGGATCGCTGTTACTTGAAGCCAGCCAGAGCAACAATGGTTATGAAACTTTTATCTCTGATTAACCACACAAAAGGTGGTATAGCTATAGCTATAGCATTAGCCTTGAGCAGAAAGAAAAACTCAGGGATAGCACTTAGGCCCTGTGTTCAAGCCCCAGGACTGGAAAAAAAAAAAAAAAAAAAGACAAAAAAGCTTCTTTCCATCTAGGTATTGTGAATGAACAAATGGCTGATATAAAGTGGAATTAAATTTTTTTTTAATATTTAAAGATTTCTAAAAATTTGAAATTGTCTTTCAAAAAGATTTATAAAGATAATGCCAATTTTATAACATTAATTTGCATTAACCAGTAAACAAAAGCAAACATATGTAAGAAGAAAATACTAATTAATCTTTTTACTTTAAGGGAACAGATGCTGCTTGTGTTACTCAGAGTCACGGAGTCTGTACTGAAGATGTCATCACAGGCTTTTCTACAGTTCCAGGGGAAAAAAAATATGACTTTGGCAGGTCGACTTGCAGGACCACTTTTCCAGGCAATAAAAATAAATTAATAGATGATAGATAAGTATTTCTTAAAGATTCATATACATGAAAATGTTATCTAGAGTAGGAGTCATTAAGTCAGAAATCTGTTCATATTTAAGGATCTTTTGTAGAGAAAATTAAAAACTACTCATGGAAATAGGTTGTTTGTCTATTTCAAAACTAGAATAAGATTGAAGGACAGACCAGGTGTGATTGCTCATACCTGTAATACTAACTACTTTTGTGAGTCAGAGATCAGGAGAATTACAGTTTGAGGCCAGTTTTTGAGGCAAAAGTTAGTGAGAACCTACCTCAAGAAATAAATGGGGCTAGGTATATGCCTGTGATATGATGCTAGCTACTTAGGAAGCATTAGGTGGAACAAGTTATCATCTAAGTCTGATCCCTGACAAAAACAATGGACCCTAATTTGATTTTTTTTTTTTTTGATCGTCATGGGGCTTGAACTCTGGGCCTGGGTGCTGTCCCTCAGCTCTTCAGCTCAAGGCTAGCACTCTACCACTTGAGCCACAGTGCCACTTCTGGTTTTCTGGTGGTTAATTGGAGCTAAATCTCATGGATTTTCCTGCCTGAGCTGGCTTTGAACCATGATCTTTAGTAGCTAGGATTACAGGTATGAGCCACTGGCGCCCAGCCTGAAAATTTTTTTTAAGAGTCAAAAAGGGTTGGGAGTATGGCTCTAGTGTTAAAAGTTCTTGCCTATTAAGTATAAAACTCGAAAACCTAATGAATTTTCCTCATCATTTATTTATTTAGTGGTACTAGGGCTTGAATTCAGAGTTTTATACTTAATAGTTTTTAGCACTAAGTATAACCTTTTAAAAATTTATTTTATTGTAAAGATGCTGTACAGAGGGGTTACAGTTATATGAGTAAGGCAACGAATACATTTCCTGTCTAGCATTGGGCATGGGTGCTGTTCCTCAGCTCTTCAGCTGTAGACTGGCGCTCTACCACTTGAGTCTCAGCCCCATTTCCAGCTTTTTCTGCTTATGTGGTGCTGAGGAATCGAACCAAGTGCCTCATGCATGCAAGGCAAGCACTGTACCACTGAGCCACCTTCCCAGCCCCACCCCTTCCTTTAAATTGCTTTTCTCCTGAATTCTGTTTGAATTGTTGGATGCTAAGAATTTGCAGTTCAAATGAAATTTATTGTATATACTAATCATTGCCTGATTTATTTATGTAGATGTTTTCTATTAAGAAAGGGTTGTAGCCCATGCCTGTAATCCTAGCTCCTCAGGAAGCTGAGATCTGAGGATCACAGTTCAGAGCCAGCCAGGCAGGAAGGAAAGTCTGTAAGACTCTTATCTCTAATTAACCACCAGAAAACTGGAAGTGGTGCTGTTACTCAGTGATAAAGCTCTATCCTTGAGCAAAAGTGCTCAGGGACAACACTCAGGCCCTGAGTTCAAGCCCTACAACCAACCAAAGAGGGGTGGGGAAGGAAGGTTTGTGCATAGTATGTTTTCTGTTTTTAGGTCATTTTTAAAGAATTGAATATTTACTTTTGAAATCATATATTAATACATTTTTATTGTTACTTCTGAATATTTGTCTTTATAGACTCTTATAGTTGCCTGGATCAAAGCAAATCTGAATGTATATATCTCTCGAGAACTCTGGGACGACTTATTGTCAGTATTATCATCATTGACTTATTGGGAAGAATTGGCCACCGAGTGGTCATTAACTATGGAGACACTAACTAAAGTTTTAGCTAGAAATTTATATAGTTTGGATCTCAGTGATTTACCATTGGATAAGCTGAGTGAACAGAAGCAGAAAAAGCATAAAGGGAAAGGTAAGCATTGTTCAGAGATGAAAAGTACTAGTTTGTTTAAATAACTGGAGAAAACCAAGTCAGGGAAAGAAGTGAGAGTAAAAGTTTTGTTTTTCCTTAATTAGTCCCCCTTCAGTAAGCCTGGAGGCTTAATAGTTCCAGCAGAAAAACAAGCAGATATTAGTAATTTTTCTTACTTCTAAAATCTTGAACCTTAAAACCTTAGAATAGGCCAGGCGCTTGTGGCTCACACCTGTAATCCTAGCTACTCAGGAGGCTGAGATCTGAGGATCCCACTTCAAAGCCAGCTTGGGCAGGAATGTCTGTGAGACTCTTATCTCCAATTAGCCACCAAAAAATCCGAAGTAGTGCTGTGGCTCAAGTGGTAGAATGCTCACCTTGAGCTGAAGAGCTCAGGGACATCACCCAAGCCAGAGTTCAAGCCCCACAATCAACCAAAACAAAACAAAACCCTTAACCAACTTTAATAAGAGATAAAGTGTTAAAGCTAAATAAATAATCTAGAACCCTAAATATTTTGTTTTTAAGAATTAACCGAAAAATGAAATGTATAATATGTCACTCCTTTTTGGGTCAAGCAACTTTTAGTTAGAAAATAAAGAATGAATTCATTTTGCCTAATTTAAAAATAAAAATAATTATTTGGAAAAAAATTTGGTTGAAACAAAGGATTCTGGAAGTATGAAATATTTAGTCTGATATCAAAAGAGGTGGGGTGGGCAGTAGCAAAATAATATCATTAATATATGATTTTATCATCTTTCATTTGTTAGTTTTTTCATTTTCTGTAATTTGTTGCCAGGCAGATATCATACTCAAGTCATATTTCATACTTAACCCTTTGTGCACTGTTTTAATAATGCACTTTTTGACTACATTTTTTAGACTGTTTTCCAAATGGTTATTACTCATTAGCTTTCTTCCTCCCTTTCTTCCTTTCTTCATTTCTCTTATGCCCTCCCTCTTTACCGCCTTCTTTTTCTCTCCTCTTATTTCCTCTCTCTCATGCTGTCCAGATATTTTTATTTCTATGATAAAGCAAGTGAAGACAGTTCATAATAATTTATTCGTTAATAGTGTAATTTTTAAATTCTGCATTAGAGTATAATCTTATAATATCCAACATTTTATCTTGCTAATTAATTTATACTTATAAGGCTAAGGGTAAGATTCTGAAGCAATATGGTCCCCATAATTTGAAGATATTATAGATCAGGTGATCAACACACTGTATATTGAGATTGAAAATGTACATTTCTAGGAGTTGGACATGAATTTCAAAAAGTTTCAGTTGACAAGTCATTTTCTAGAGGATGGAGTCGTGATCAACCCAGCCAAGCCCCAATGAGACAGCGAAGTGCCACAACCACTGGCTCCCCAGGAACTGAAAAGGCAAGGAGTATAGTGCGGCAAAAAACTGTTGGTATGTATTCTTAAAATAGTGAGAATTGTATAACTCCAGTACATTTGCAATTTTTAGAAACAGTGTATCATGATTTCTTAAGGCTGATTTTTGTTGTGAAATGAGAAACTTCTGTAGCAAACCTCCTTTTACAGTAGTATTCATCCTTTTATGATATTAAGATTTACTGTATATTCTTGTTTTTATGTGTTTTATTTTACTATAAATATCCTTTTTAAATGATATTTTACAGAATGCAAGAAGTAGAACTCTGATTCATCTTATAGTACTCAATCCTGAATTTATAATCTCTTTGTTAAATGAATATACTAAGGAGAATTTAGGCCAATTTTCAATCCTACAATTATATTAGCTTTACAAACCAACAAGGGAATTCATCTTACTACAAATAGATAGCTAAGGTCAACATAGAATCTTTTGTTTGGTTCCTTGATACCTTTAATAAGAAATTTCTGTCATATAGGAAATAGCAGTTAAGGAATACTGTTGGGGGAAAATTCTAGGGATAGGATCATTTACCATAGCACAGATTTAGCAGATATTCCCTATTCCTTTCAAAGGAACCTTTATAACTCAGTATAATTATATTAGAAAATGTATCACAATGATAAATGAAGGTTAGCTATGATCTCTCTGTCTTTCTGTCTCTTTCTCCCTTTCTTGCCTAGGGTTTGAACTTAGACCTTGGGCTTGCTGGGCAGGCAATCTACCACTTGAACCATGCCTCTATCCCTATAATCTCTCTTCTTGATTACTTTTTCACTAAATTGCTAGGTTATTTGGAACAATCTATCAGATCTCTCTAGGTTTTAAGTACTTCATCTCTCTGTAGTAAGGATTATAATACCTCTTTTGCTGGAAGAAAAATTACGTTCAAGTTTTATAATTTATGATTTTAGGAAAAGAGACTGTTACATGAAACTGCATCTATGAATGGTACCAGTAGTAAATATTATTAATTTTAAATTTAAAACCATTGTTATAAGGAAATGTCTTCAATAAAAAGTAGGTTCTCAGGTGTAAAGACACAGATTTAGAAAATTGGAAAATTAAAAACTTAAAAAAAGCTAAAAGCTATAATTTAAAATCTTAGGAAAGGATCACATTTTAAGAGTTGCCTCATGTTACCCAACTCACCATATAATTATATTAATTGTATATACCAAGCTAGAAGAATAAGAAATGATATGAGGGGAAAAAAGGGTATTAGAAATATCTAGGAATTTTGATACAACTACTTTGAATATTTGTATTCTTCAATTTCTGCCTTCCTGCCCTTGATGCTAGGGATTAAACCCAAAACCACTTACTTACAAGGCAAGTGCTCTACTGAGTTACATCTCTAACCCTGTAAATAATGACTACATTTGAAATGCATTTCTTCATTCACATTTACAGGAAATATTTGTATGTTAAGGACTTTTAAAATTAGATTTAACCTTGAATTTATTTTTATTTATTGATTTTTGGATGCCAGTCCTGGGAGTTGAACTCAGGGCCAAGATGCTTTCTCTGAACTTTTGTTGCACAAGGCTAGTGTTCTACCACTTTGAGCCACAGCTTCACTTGTGATTTTTGGGGATTAATTGGAGATAAGAGTCTCATGGACTTTGCTGCCCATCTGGTTTTGAACTATCATCCTCAGCTTTCAGCTTCCTGAGTAGCTAGGTTTACAGGCATGAACCACTGGTGCATGGCTAAGCCCTGAATCTTTTAAAAGTACATTCTTTTTTCTTTTTTTCTGATTGTAGAAGTCATTTTTGCTTGGTATATTAAGTCTGAGGAAACATTAAAAGTAATCATTTATTCACACATTTAGCTTTTGTAGTGTTTTTAGTAATGTATAAAGTAAAAATATCTTGAATTCAACTATTTGATTCTTATCAACTGTCCGTATCTAGATTGTTTAGTGAATTAGCCTGTCAAGCAGATGTTAAAACATTAGAAATATAACATGCATCAAATTGGAAAACAGGGCTGAGATGTAGCTCAGTGGCAAAGCGCTTGCCTAATAAGTGCAACGTCCTGGGTTCGATCCCCAGTACCAAAAAAGAAAAGACAAAAAAAATACAGTTAACTGAGGGATAGTGTTCAGGCCCAGAGTTCAAGTCCCATGACTGACAAAAAAAAAAATACAGTTAAAAAAACCCCACAAAATTGGAAAACAGTTAAAAGGCATAGGATTTAATTTAAAATATTCTTTGGACACTTATTTTCTTTAGTTTTAAAAATGTAAATGTACATAGTTTCATCTGTGAAAAAATTATGTACATTATAGTAAGTCTTCCTTCATCCTTTTCCCCACCAATGCAGGATACCTGACTGGAAACAACCACTGTTACTAACTTCTTTGAACATCCTTCTAAAGATCCTTTATGCATATGCAAACATACAGCATAATACGTATATTAATATGAGCCATAGGTTTTACACATTTGGATAAAAACAAGTTTAAGTTTCAATATGGAAGCGCTGTTTACAGAAATTATGAGCAAAACAAAGTCCATTGGAGCTTGCAGTCTAGTGTTTGGGGAAACATTTAATAAATAGATTGAACCAATAAACATATCAGGTAGTAATAGTAGTAAATTATGGTGAAAAGTAAAGCATGATAAAGGACTAGAGCCTGAAGGAGATCAACAGAGATCTGTTTTATCGTATAAGAACAGAGACTTGAATAAAGTGAATGAGCTTAGCAGATTCCTAATAGGAAGTACATTGTGAGCCAAAAGAAAAGTCTGAAAACCCTGTGTGGTATGCTTGGGTATTTGAGGAATAGTAAAGTCAATATGGCTGAAGTGAAATGTGGAAGAAGAAAGCAAGTGAGTGTTAGGAGACCAAGTCAGTTTGTAATGATGTATCCTAAAAAGTTAGAATTAAAGTCTGAGATGTAAGAAATGACCTAAGAAATGACTAAACATGTAGACAAATTAAACGCTTCTAAGTATAATAATTCTTTTGGAATTAGAATAAAGGACAGATTAAAATATGGTCAGTTCATGTAATATCAAAGTTTAGTAAGAATTTAAGTGTTCTGAAAATACTCCTTTTGTTTATGTTAGTGTATAGGAGCTTGTGGCATTACAGAATTAATTTTAAACTTGAAAAATAAATAAGAAACATACAACTCAATTTAAAAATAGGTAAAGGATTTGAATGGACATTTCGCCATAAAAGTACACAAATGGCCAATACACACATGCTTTATATTAACCATTATTGAAATACCAATGAAAATCACAATGGAATACTACCTCTCTCTCCCTCTCTCTCTCTCTCTTTCTCTCTCCCTCTCTCTCACACACACACACTCTCACACACTCACGAACTATTGTCCATCAGACAGATAATAACAAGTGCTGGTGATGATGTGGAAAAATTGGAGACCACATATATTACTAATGGAAATGTGAGACACTACAGCTACTTTGTCAGTTTTTTGAAATATCAAACTGTTGAGCAGATTACCCAGCACTTTTCATTCCTAGGAATATACTTAAGAGGATTGAAGAGTAGCTTCATTTATTTTATAAACCAAGGTAATAATCTTCAGTTTAAAACACAGTATCCCCTCAGGAAGTTCATGACCTTATTAGTTTGATATTTATAAACATATGGCTAATTCTAATATTGAACCAATACTAATTTACTCGGATATAGGGTATTCTAGTATAACTTCGCAGCATTGCCATATAACAAGTTGCATGTCAAAGCCAAAAAGAATTTTAAATTTAGCCTCGTCTTTGAACAGGAAATAATGTAATAAAAACAGTATTTTTGGAGATAAATTAAAAAATTACACCCTAGAACTTAAGAAGCAACAGACTGAAGTCAAGAAAAATTCCAAAAAATACTTATAACTGACTTGGAGACTTTATTTGGAGGATATACAAATTTGTTCTTTAAATCCATATTAGATTTGCTCTTAGAATTCAATTTCATTAAGAAGACTGGCTCTTAATGAATTGCCTAGATAAATTACCAAATATAGCAGAAAAATTACTTTTAGTAATAATACTGAGTTATTTGCAGTCTTTCCATTCAACAGACTTCTCAGTTCTTGGTATTGAAAACATAGCTAAAAGTGTCTGTTTTTTAAATACTGTTCCATTGTAATTGCTAATAATAAAAAGCATTTTCCTGCTTTACACCAAAATATTTACATTCAAAATGTGTGTGTTCTCTGATTTCTTTTCTTACAGCTTGCCAGTATTTGCTGTGCTGAAATGTTTTAATTTAAACTTTCCTTCCTTTGTATCTTTTAGTTTTCTCTGTTGCTGCTTTTTCTGTGACACAAGCCTTTCATTATAGTCACTCTTCTTTTTTTCCTTCCCCACTTCTTTCTTTTCCTTTTTTAAAGCCATGAGAAGCCGATCCATTGGTGAATGTGCTCTGCCATCGGCCTATATACGCAGTGCTAAAAGTGCTCCTGTTCTGATCCATACTTCCAAACCCTTCTTGCCTGATATTGTTCTCACTCCCCTTTCTGATGAGCTTTCAGGTAGTGCCACCTCTGCTAATTTCTGCATCACCTTTTTCACTGATAATCCTCTGCTTTCAAATTTTGCTTAATCAAATAAACTCTTTAGTTAATTTCTTGGGGGAGGTGTGGAAAACTGGGAAATAATTGAGAAATCAACATTTTGAGTTATTTGAACTCTAATGCTATCCTTGCAGTTCATTCTGGAAGTGCTAAGTTTAGTGCTGTGCCAATGTACAATATTACTGGATATGAACAGCCAGTTTTCTCCTTTATGTTTGAGTTTTTTACATAGGTGGTTAAATAGTATGAATATTGCTATTAAATATTATTAGGACCTTGACTTTTAATTTGTCATTGTTTTGACTAACAATGTGGCAAGCCTTGAATAATTACTTCATCTTCTATAATAATGGAAGTAGGCAGGGACAGACAACCAGTTTATTAGAAAAGAACATAGATACAAATGTCCTTTTGAAGTAGATATGATAGTACATAAATAATTGTGAACACTTGAATT